GAAAAATTATTAAATTTACTTACTATCTACAGCCCACTGATAAGTCCTCGAAACGGGCAGAGTGACATTCCTCTAGGGACTCAACTGCCTTGATGTTAATACTATGGGCAACAGGCAATCTTAGCCCAACCGCCAGGATCCTGTAATTCTACTTTAACATTTAAAAAGGAAACTTCCTTTATCTCTACCCCCTCCCCAAGATGCATGTCGGCAAGCATCCCCCCGAGCGTATGACCCACCAATATGCATCTAAAGGGCCTCATGACTCAGGTTTTATTAAACAGTAATAAACGACTTTTTCCCAACAATAGCTAGCCCCCTCTCAAGGTCCTGGAAACCTTGCTTCCAAAATTCCTTAGGGACTTAGCTCTCCCTAAGCCCCTCCCAACTTGAAAGTATGTAACGGGCCACTGCTCATGACCCCAGCGCAGCTTTCTGCCCACGGGTCCTGTGTCCGGGCTTTAATGAAACCACCTTTTTGCACCAAAGATATCTCAAGAATTCTTTCTTGACTATCGGCTTCAAACCCTAACGTCTTTCCTACATCAAAGAACACAAAATTGGTCATCACACGTAACTTCCTAAGATAATTCAGGCATTATTTTCTACTTTACAGATTTTTCTTTTCCATCTCCACTCTTTTTGCCTCTATCTCTATCTACAGAACATGCCAGAAAAAGGACACGAAGAAAATGTTATCTAAAGAACTGTCTAGGCTTCAGATAGGCAAAAATATTGCCATGATTGCCATCTGCACGGGTTACAAAGCACCTTCATGCCATCTCCTCATTTGACACAAAAGCCTGAGAAGAGCAAAAAAACTCAGATTGATCTAGTTTCAATGGACAGCAAGTCTGCTCTGGATAAAACGGTCACAGCAGTCACAAAGAAATTGTTTACCTGACTGCAGTAAGGATGAGCAGAGAGTAAAATCACTTCCGAAGTCCCCGGCTGCCTAGCACTTGATTCAGCCCACGCACGTGAGGCTACACTTCATCCCCTTGACAAATACTGAGTACCATCACGTACCAAGCACGGTGCCAGGCACTCACGAAGAAAAGGTAAGAAAAGCAGACATGAATGGTCCTGCCCTCATGGAGCTTACAGTTTAGGGGGGAACACAGACTTTAAGGAAATATTCATGGAGATAAATGTAAAGTTTCAACTATACATGCTAGAAACAGAGGTACACGGTGCTACACAGCTTGAAAAACAGGTAAGAAAGGATAGTCTTCCCTTAGAGAAGTGACACTTGAGCTGGGACTGAGGACGAGTTCCTGGCACAGAGACAGCACGTACTAAGGCCCTCAGGCAGGACGAAATGCGGTGAATGTGTACATGAGATTCTACGAAGCTGTGTGGCTGGGCTCCCTGATCTCTCTGCAAAACAGTAACAGAATCTAGCCTGTGATGCCACTTAAGTGTCCCATAAATAAATGAAAGGACTGCTTCACACCAAAATCTTAGAGGCTTATAAGCACTACCCAAGATCAGTCCTAAACCATACCTTGGTAAGTGACACACTTATTTTGGGGCTCTGATAAAATAGTGTATTCACATATACTTCCAAGTTTAGCAGGTTCTGGAATTGGGGTCTCAGCTGAAGAAGGCCAGAGAGGACAATCACACCTACTTGAGCCTTGTCATCCTGACACTAATAACTCCGACCTCTGTCCCTCTGACTATGATGGCACTGCCACTGTAGTAGGTACCAAATGGGCTATATGCCCAGGACCCCTTTCCCTGGGAATGGACGCCCCAGCCACATGGTTTCAGGGGAAACAGCCATCTTTGTGAAACAGAGCCCTGCTACTCACTCCCAACTGACAGAATTTAGATAGAATTACGACTAAATGTGGCATCTCACCTGCTTGCTCTTTTGAGTGACAAATCTCGGAAGCTGTTGGTATTTTCTATTCTCAGCTATATGGAGAAGAAACAGAAAAATAACCAAATATTTTGAATGTAACAAAGAGCAGCAAAGCAGAGAAGAAAATCTCCACAGCAGTCCAGGCTTAGGGACCCAGCCCCTTCCTGAGGCCCAGGCACTTCCTGTCCTTGGAGGTCTAAGGTACCCTTGCATCCTTACCACAAACTCCCCTTCCTCTGAAGCTCCTCTCCAAGGGTCCGTTAAGCACAAGCAAGAGTCCTAACCACATAGACATAAGAACTTAACATGCCTAGTGTTTTTCTTCCCATCTTTTCAGGACCCTGACCTGTTTCTTGAAGTTCTCATATCCACTTTCTATCACCTCTCTGCTAACTGCCTCAAAGCCAGTCACCCTGTTTTTTAAATCAGGCTTAACACACACACACACACACACACACACACACACACACACACACACACTTCCTTATATACAGAGCAGATCTGAGGCAGGTCTTGAATTTCAAATATAATTCTCATGGATGTATTCATCACAGTAATGAGCTGTGGATGAGTGAACATCTCAGAAACTGAAAGCCCCCTTCAAATAAATAAAGGAATCAAGATCCACCAAGTGTAGGGAACTGCCCTGAAAGTCCTAACAATTTCTACAGGCAAGAAGTAATACATTTCACTGGTAAACACTACAAGAGAGCACAGAGATTACAGAGTTGGAAGTCTTATTATCCACTCCCCAACTCCTACTCTTCAGAGGTAAGTTAATCTTTCAAGACGTTTTCGACACATAACCGAATTTATTTGCTGTTTCATCTTTCCCCTACATAGACTGCACTACACAGGCTGTCTTCACTTAACTTGCTGTATATCCTCTGTCTTAAATGGTGGTAACTTTTAAGATGTTATCATGATTTTTATGATGACTGGAGAATTCTTTCCAGTCCAATTACTGTATCGGGATGTATACATTTTTAAATTCTGATATTGTCAAACTGCCCTCCAAAGACACTGCAACAAATTATACTCCCACCAACAGTACATGCAAGTGCCTGCTTTCTTACACTACAGTCAGTGACCATTTTCACACTAATTTTTAATCACTGGAGCAGAGTGTGAGACTATCCATGTCAATGCAAGAAGCACTGACCTCTATAGCCCAAAGTTAACAAAACAGTCAATTAAAGTTCTAAGTGGAAAAAGGTTGAGACCACATTCAAGGAAAGGGGTCAAAGAGCTGATTTCTAAGGAAAAGCTCTGTTCACTAGAAGATTTATCATATACCCACGCCAGTCTCAGCCCTAATCCTGACTCCACACTTCTGACTCGTCTTTATCTCTGACTTGATTTCCCATCAGCCTTTCTTGCTTACCCCGTGTGGCCACACTAGCTACCTGGTTTCTGTCCATCAACCAGGAGGTCTTTGGATTTTCTTATAAATGAAATGGAAAGTCAGTGGAATGTTCTGAACAGGGAAAAAAGAACAGACCTACATTTTAAAAAGATCTCTTCTGGGGGTTCCTGGCTGGTTCAGTAAGAAGAGCATGTGACTCTTGATTGTGAGTTTGAGCCCCCACGTTGGCCTTAGAGATTACTAAAAAATAAATACATAAACTTCAAAGAATGGCATTTAGCATTCCTACTATCATATAAAAAATAAAAAGATCTCCCTGGCTGCGGGTGTAGAGATGGTACAGGAACAAGAATGGAAGAAAACAAGCCACTGCAGTTACTACAGGAGTCCAGTCAAGCGATGATGGAAGCGTGGACGAAGAGTGTTGGAGAATCCGTGATGGAAAGCGTCTAGGTGCCAAGGCAGAGCTAACAGGATTTACTGATAGACTGGATGTGGGACGCAAAAAGGGAGGAATTAAAGTTAATTACCGGGTTTGGGGTTTGAGCAACTTGACCAATAGGAGAACCATTTACAGAAATGGCAAAGATCAGGAGCTGGAGCACGAATTACAAATTCTGCTTTGGACCCATTAAATTTTGGGTACCTACTGGGCATTTAGTGCTCTTCAGGATCATTCAGTCCTAATTATCCACTCAACAAATATTAAGTATCGAGAACGCCAAGCAGTATGGTAGGAGATATTCTGGAAAAAATAGGAGCCCTGTTCGATGAGAACCCACCACCAGGACTCGGGGAGTGGGGCAGGGTCAGGTGCCCGGAGGCAGAAGGCAGAGCTCAGCTGAGATCTAAACAAGGACGGGAAAGCGCTGCAGGATGAAGAACAGCATCGGGTTCCACATACGACGGACAGAAGGCCTTCGAGAAACGGAAAGCGGGCCGCTACGAGCGAGGCAGGCAACAAGAACCTGGCCGCAGACTGGGCAGAGAATAAACTGCAGGCCCCCGTTGTATGGGTTCGGGGCTTTAGCCGAAGAACTACGGAAAGCCACAGAGGAGAGTGTTGCGGTGGGTTTTCCTGGAGAGGTGGGAGGGGGCCGAACCGGCGGAACAGACTTCTGAAAATACTTTGTGGCTGCAACGTGTAAAAGACTCCAGTGGAACCCGAGGTAGGCACTTTTATCATCTGCAGTTTCTGCTCACAGACCCTCAGGTACTGGCGGTCGCTGCTCCGAGCAGCTCAGTCACACGGTTTTGGCGGCCAGAAAGTTTTTTCCCAGGCGCCGCGTGTGCTTCTCACCTCGTAGACGCTCTCGTCGTCTTCATCCTCTTCTTCGTCACTGTCTCCATCGTCCTCGTCCTCATCCTCCATTTCATCTTCTTCTTCCTCGTCGCGCTGGTCCGGGACGCCTGAAGGCTGCGGAGCCCCACTACCCACGGCACGCCGCTTGGGCCTGGACGCCATGTTGCCGGCCTCCTTGCGCCTGCGCAACTCCCACCAGCCCTCCCTTCCGGACCCACCCACACAAGCCGGGGGGGGGTGAGAGAGGACGGACGTCCTCGGCGCTGAGTCGGGGTCAACCCCAGGGCCCCCGATGGATTCCACGGCCATGCTCTCTAGGGGCCAAGTCAAGTTCGAGGTCCTATTTTGGCATTTTCTTCCCCCTTTCCATCCTCCTTCAAGCTTTCCGACGCTCCTCCTCCCCTTCGCTCAGTGGTTCGACCCACCTCGGCCCACCCTCCCCGGACCTGGGTGTCTGTGCGCATGCGCGCGCTCCAGCTGCGAGGGGCTCCGGCTCCGGGACCCCGGGCCTCCGTGCCGCTGCCGCGCGGCCGCACACGAGCTGTTTCCATGGCAGCAGAGGCCACGTAGTGAGGGGGCCGCCCACCCGGCTCCGCTCTCCGGTGGCTGCACCGCAGGCTCGTTGGCACTGCGAGATACCGCCCCCGCCAGGGCGCCCTCCAAGTGCTGGGCAGTGGCCCAGCGCCTAGCCTTTCGGGCCTGCGCAGCCCAGCGAGGTAGGTGTCGCCGCCCACGGTGCCGACGATGACACCGAGGCCCGCGGACGCGCAAGGCCAGCCTGCGGCGCTAGCTAGAGCGTGACGAGTGGGGAGCCGAACCCCGAGGTCGCTGCTGGGTCTGGGCGGGGGCTCTGGCCCGGGGGCAGCGATCGGCCCCGAATGGAAGGTCGCCGGGCTCAGGGCCCCCTGCACCGTCGGTGGCACGGCCTGGTCCGCGGTGGAATGAATCTCCTCCGAAGCCCTGCCCCAGCCGACGCTCTTTAAGCGCATTTCTTGACCTGAAAGTTTCTTTAAGATAGGGGTTAACCTTAAATGCTTCAAATCCAGTGGGGAAATCTGAACTACAGAGCAGAGCCCCTCCTTGGAGAGAAGAGAGTGGAGGGGGCTGTGGTCAGCTAGAGAGTGCAGCCAGTTGTGGCTGAGGGGACATGCTGGCCTAGTGCCCTCAGATCTTTACATTCAAGAGAACCTGGAGTTCCACAAGATCGATCCTGATTTTTAACATCTGTGCCAAATAAAATTCAGTCCCCAGTCAGCTGTATCCCACGGGCAGCCAGTATGCAGCCGTTCATTGTAAAGACTATTTGGAAAGAAAGTCCTTAATTGAAGAAGACATCAGCTATCTGAGAAGGAGGTCTGTGGTTTAACTTTTTTTTTTCCCCTCTGTAAAATGAGAAAAGTGGGTTGTATACCTCTGATTCTAAAAATGGAAGGAGCTGCCCTGTGTAGTGAGGTGGCTGCAGCCCAGAGGTTTACGCAGAAACCTGATAACCTCTTCTCAGTGACCCTTCAGCAGCAGGAAATGGGGTCAGGGTAAGGTAAGGGTCCCCCGAGGCGCCATGATTGTGTTCTGTGGGTTCCGTCCTTCCTGAGAATCTCCGCTAGCAGGCCACAGCCTGGGTATTGATAGACATGCATATCAGGGATTCACCTCTGTTGGGGTAGTTCTGCTCATACCCCTGCCTGTCTCCTGTTCCTGGCTTCCTCCCATTCTTGCTGCAAGGCAGGTAACAGGAGTTTTCTCCAAGCAGGGAGCTTTCAAAGTGGTCCCAACCTGTCAACGGAGTTGCACTCAGACATCTTGGATAATTTTTTCTGTTTCTTTATACTTTCTTGTAGTAAAACATACACAACACAATTTACCATTTTAATCATTTCTAAGTATTAAGTTTAGTGGCATAAGTAAATTCCTTTGTTGTGCATCATTTGTTGTGCAACAGCCACCACCATCCATCCCCAGACCCTCGTCTTGCAACACTAAAACTCTACCAGTTAAACAGTAACTCCCCATTTCCCCCTTGCCCAGGCCCTGGAAACCATGATTCTGTTCTCCGTCTCTATGAATTTGACTACTCTAGGGGAATTCTATAATTTTTGTCCTGCGATTGCTTATTTCACTTAGCATAAAGTCCTCAAGGTTCATCCATGTTGTAGCATGTGTCAGAATTTTCTTTTTAAGGCTGAATGATATTCCGTTGTATGTATATATCACATTTTGTCTATCCATTCGTCCGTTGGTGGACACTTGGGTTGCCTCTACCTTTTCACTATTATGAATAACACTGCTGTGAACTTGGATGCACAAATACCTGTTTAAGTGTGTGCTTTTAAATTTTTGGGTGTGTATACCCAGAAGTGGAACCGTTGGATCATATGGTAATTCATTCTGTGTGTGCTGTTTTTTTGAAGTACTATACTTTTTTGTAGTTTGCTTTTTGAAGAACTGTACTTTTTTGTAGTTTGCAAATTTTCCAGGGAGCTTGTATTGCTTTGATAGGAGATCGAGGAAAAGCCTTACTTTGTGTCCTCAGACTAGCTCCCAGCGTTGAGCGAATGGTCAGAGTGGGAAGTAGCATGGAGTATCTGATAGGAGCTGAGAAGTGATGGGAGTGCTTAAGGAATGGGCGTGGGCTTCAGACGGGGATTGAATCCTACCCCTCCACTCACTGTGCTGCTGTGTGACCTTGGGCACCTTGCTCAACCCTTCAGAGTTTTGGTTTCCACTTCTGTGAAGTAAGGATACCAATACCTACCCTTGCTGGTTTAAATGAGGATTGAGATCCTGCAACGTAAAATGCTTAGCCCCGTAAGTAACAGAGTAAGTAAGCGCTCACTAAAAAAGGCCGGCTGGTGCTTAGTTCTCCTCGTTGCCAAAATTCAGGAGCTTCTGCAAGGTGGGCAAGGCAGAACAAGGTACACCAGGAGCTTCAAGGAGTAAGTCATGCCAAAGAACCTTGCTCGGTTGCTCCGTAAGTGCATTGCATGGCATTCTTTGACTTGCTGTTCATCTGGAACTCACCTCTCGGTGCCTGCCTTGGTTCTGATATCTCCCATATGTGTGTACTGGGGAGTGGGGAGGTGCCTCTGGAACCTCTCTCGACCCCACTGCCTCCCTCGCCAGTCATGGCCTCGTTTCTCGTCTTCAGAGCAAAACTGAGATTCTCCACCTCTTGTTACCTACATCTTTACCCCCGCTTTATTCTGTAACTTACTCTGTTATGGACTGAATTGTGTCCCTCCAAATTCATATGCTAAAGCCCTAATCCCCAGTGTGAACTTTATTTGGATATAGAGCCTTTGAAGAGGTAATGAAGAGTGGTGCCTGGCTGGCTCAGTTGGTAGAGCATGTGACTCTTGATCTCAGGGTCCTGAGTTCAAGCCTCATGTTGGGCGTGGCACCTACTCTAAAAAAAAAAAAAAGAAAAAAAGAGGTCATGAAGATTAAATGAGGTCATTGCAAGGTCAAGCCCTATCACTATACCCGTTAGGTGGAGCCCTAATCCTCTAGGTCTGGTGTCCTTAGAAGAAGAGGAAGACACCAGAGGTTTCTCTCTGCACAAACACAGAGGAGAGGCCATGGGAGCACACAGCAAGAAGACAGTAGTCTGGAAGCCAGGAAGAGAGCTCTCACCAGGAACCAAACATGGTGGCACCTTGACCTTGGACTTCCAGCTCCCAGAACTGTTGGAAATGAATGTCTACTGTGGAAGCCCCCATTCTGTGGAATTCTGTTATGGCATGACTAAGATAAAAAGTATCATTCTGGTACAAAAGACTTAGTTTAATAATGCAAACACTTGAAAGCAAAACCAGTCTACCCACTGCAAATAGAGAAAATGTTTCTTCTCGGTTCTACTCTGTGGTTGTCTTAGATAATAAAATTGATGGCTTCCGGATAATGACTGTTAAGAGATTCCATGAGATGTGCTGCTGGACTTGACAAATAAAAATCAGACTACCACCCTTATTCCTTCTCGGCCATGGCTCAAAGCACCTCTAAGGAAAAATTAAGAGGAACCATTGCTGGTGATTCTTTTCCCTGCTAGAGCCCCATGTCATCAAGTTCAGTGAGAAAGAAATCACTTGACAAGTGTACAAAGATAGTCATGCTCGCACATTACTAATTTTCTTAGTAATTGAAGATTTAAAGTTAATAATGTTTTTAGAATTGATTCCCCCTAATTGACAGGTACTGTTCACCGTACTATTAGCACATTCAGCCCAGGGCAGAATCCAAGGGCTCAGAGAAAGGTCTACGGGTGATGGGGGGTGTGGGGTTTGGTTTGGGGAGTCCCAAAAGGTTCTGCAGAGCCAAAGGGTCTGCAGCAAAGGCCTGGGGACTAGGCGACGGACCCTGCCCTTAGCAGAGGAAATACTCACCAGGGGAGGACTGGCTCATGGGACAGCCAAGGTACATGTGTTTCTAAAGGCATATATGGATGACATCAGCCAGCCGCCTTGCGAGTGAGGAATGACTTCTTCCCAATGGCTTTTTCCAGTCACAGGAGTTTAGACAGTGGCATTACTGCAGCTTCTCACAGACCAAAGAAAGGTCCAGAACGTTCACATCCACACCCCAGCCAGTGGGGAGGCAGGAGGGAAGAGTAGGCGCATGGCACTTCCCTGTCAGGGCAGGCCCCGCAAAGTGCACATCACTCCCACTAACATCCTGTGGGCCAGAAGCTAGTCCCCTGGCCACATGCGGCATATGTTTTTATTTTGGGCAAATGTGTGCCTTGTTACCAACGGGGGATTCCATTGCTATGAGTGAGAAAGGAAGGGTGGGTATTTGGGGGCAGCTGGCAACCTCTGCCCCCCCCCACCGTCCAGGTAAGACTTCCAGTTATGCTCCCAGAGCATCTTGACTTGTTTTCATAGCACTTATCACACTGACTGTCGTCGTTTTTACTTATTTGTAAAGTGTCTATGTTACCCTCCCGTAAATATGAGGCAGGAATCCTATTGTATCCCCACTGCCTAGGACTCAGTAACGGTCTAGAAATACTTGTTAACTCACTGATAGGATTACACCCTACAAACCCCAAGTTTAGGTGGGATTCGAAGAAGAAAGACTTTCACCTAGTCCCAACTGTCAGGCCATGGACACAGACGGTTTCACCTTGAATTACACCGTGTCCTGTTAACCTTGTCGGTATGAATCCCTGATCCAGCCCCTTCGTAACGGCGCCCCTGCCTGTTCATCCTACCTCAGCAGCCGGAGACCGTTCTCAGGCATGTACACCTTCGCTGCCAGGCCTGCTTACACTTGTCCGTGGACTTCCATTTCTCATGGTGTCCAGGTCCACCTGTCCTTCCCACCGGAGCCATGCGTACCCTTCTCTCCTGGGAACGTGCTCAGCCCTTTCTTGACATCTGAACATTTCTCTTCGCTGCTGTTGTCATTCAGATCTCAACTAAGATGCCACCTTCTCCGAGAGGTGGCCCTGGACTGGCAACCAGCCATCAGCCACCCAGTTATCCCTCCTAGCACTTGGTAGGACTTGAACTTGTGCCCTGCCCCCAGTACATAATGCAGCCCTAAACTCTCTGAGGCAGATTCCAGGTGCCACTGCCTGAGAACAGCATAGAAACACTTGGGAGACATTGGCTTCTGGGATTTGAAAGCAATACTAACCTATCCTTTGAAATCTTGGGGATACGCACCCCAGAGCCTCAAACCATGGCTGGGCCAAGGTGGGGCTGAGGTCTGAGGCCCGGGACCGACTGCTTCCAACATGCTCCCACCTTTTAATCCCCACAATCCTGGCTTGTTTTGTGGGCCTGGAAACATTTGTGTGTTAACAGAAAATGCTGTTTTACCTGCCACTCATCTCAGCCCCTTCTGGGGCTCTCGGGATCAGTCAGGGTTCAACCAAAGAAAGAGCTGGTGGGGGATATGGATTAGGACCTGCTGTAAGGCACCTCCTGGTGCACCTGTGGGGCTGCTGGGCAAGTCTGAGACCCCGAGCGCAAGCCGAGCGCAAGCCGCTGAGAAGGCAGGGCGGCCCGGCAGCGGAGGAGGCTGTGGCCACAGCTGGAACTTCTTCCTCGGGGAAGACTCGGTCCCGCTCTTAAAGGCACTGTCTGGAGGAGGCCCCCCCAGATTATCTAGGATAATCTCCCTGGCCAAAAGCCACCCGATGATAGGCTTTATCCTCTCTCCAAAATACCTTCACAGCACCATTTGTGAAGAAATGGGGACTGGAGCCTCGTGGGGTTGACTGACAAACTTGTGCATGCCCATCTCAGAAAGGCCAGTTCCTAATTTCTGTGTGAGACACATTCCAAGTAATTTCAGGAAATGATAGGAACAATACTGCCCATTTCCCCAGAGCCCCAGTCTCTCTGGCTCACAGCTCGACAGCAGCAGTAATTAGAACTTGATTTCATGATTATTATTTGTTCACCCAGGGTTGGTTGCTTAGATACAAAGCAATTCATTTTGAGCCAAATTTTCCTAAGACGTCCCGTAGATATTATAATGTTCCAGAAACCTATTCAGTAATAACTCACAGGTAATGGCTCCCAGAGTTAACACATTTCTGCTCCAAACAATACACGCGTTTTGACTATTAACCACTGTATAATATTTAGTACGTGACTAGCTGGTGGGCCTAATACTACTTACAGGATAATAATACACATTTCAGGCAGAGTTTATTCTGCAGGTCTCTAGCAACATTTATTTTGAGGCCTTTGGGGTGGTCATATTAAATTCTTCCCCCCGATACAAAATAATTTAATGTTTATTGTAAAAAAAAAATGTGGATAATACACAAAGAGATAAACAAGAAAATAATCACCCTAACCTGCCCCCCAGAAATAATTATTAGTAGTATTCTGGTGCATATTCTTTCATACATATGCATATATAAAATTTATAAAACCATACTATGCATGCATCCTACTTTTTTAACATTTTGTGATTAAATAATCCGTGTAATTAAGTTATTAATGAATATTTTAATGATTTCATATAACTGTACCATTCTCTCACTGTTGGACATTTACTTTGTTTCCCACTATCAATACCAGGATACCCTCTTACAACTAGAAGAGGAGTAAGTCCTGGAAATCTAATACAAAACATAGTGATTATAGTCAACAATACTCTTTTACAAACTTCCAAGTTCCTAGGAAAGTTGATCTTAATTGTTCTTACCGCAAAAAAGAAATAATTATGAAGCGGCGTGGTAGAGGTGTTAACTGAGCTACTACTGTAGTAATCATACTGCAGTATATAAATGTATGAGATGAACAGCTTAATAGCTGAAACCGACACAGTGCTGTATGTCAAATATACCCTGGTTAAGGAAAAAAAAAGAATACCAGGATCCAGGATGAACATCTTTATGTCAGTCTTTGCACACTTTTATGAGTATTGCCTTAGTATTTATTCTTAGAAGTGAGATTATAGGATGAAAGAGTATGAAGTATGCAAGGCTTTTGAAACATCAACAAATTCTTTTCCAGGTTGTTAGACTAAGTTTTGAAAGAGATCTCATATTTGACACCATTTATAAAACATCATTTGAGAGGTAGAAGGGTCAATATGATTATTTCCTAAAGAGCTTATGAACTACTTAGTACATTTATCTTGAGATGGAAGTAATTCTTTATTTCCTTAAAATAATTTGTCTGTTTGTTAATGATACAACCCCAAATTTGTATCACTCCTCTTTAGGAGCCTTAAATGTGTGCCCAGGACTCGGGCTTTCCCTAATGGCTTTCATCGGCCTTTCCAAGTGGTATCAAGCGCCCACATGCTGTCACTTGGCCTTATCAGTGGCAGGGGCTTCAGAAGGAACAAGCCCATTAACGCTAAGTCATTGTGGGCGAGGGATAAGCCGGTCACCTCAGCGATCAGTTGATGACCTTGTTCCCGTGCTTCCGTCCCATCTGACATTGCTTAGGAAGAGTCCTTGAGATCTAATTAAGATCCATCCGTCTCCCTGCTCTGTCCCAGCACCCTGTAAGGACTGCCAGGTGATAATGAAGGTTCTCTTACTGAAAGACGCTAAGGAGGACGACTATGGCCAAGACCCATACATCAGGGTAAGTGCCCGAGGCTCCGGGTCCTGCATAGCATGACACTGTCTTACTAGGGAAGTTAAGGGGGTGAGGGGGGCGGTCTGCGAACCCTCCAAACCACGGACAGAGTAAGTTGGTACTGTGACGCTTTCCTTATTTTCCAAACAACCCTGGCCAATCCAGAACTATATTCTTGTATTTGCAGGAATTAGGATTGTATGGACTTGAAGCCACTCTGATCCCTGTTTTATCATTTGAGTTTTTGTCTCTTCCCAGTTTTTCTGAGAAGGTAAGGTCTGTCAGTGTCTGAGTACCGTAATTTCTGAGTCTCTGTAGAATCCTTGCCAACCCAAGCCGGAAGGATTTCTTCGCTGCTCCCTCATTTTACTACCAATCTTGAAGACAAGGGCAGCGCTGCCTCACCCTGCTCCAGTGGGTGCGGCTATTAGACTGTCCCTGAGCCTCCAGCAGGTCCTCCAGAAAGCCGCCCTGACCTGAAGGCGGGGGCGGGGAGGGGCTGTCGGGAGAGCGGGTTGCAGGGAGGGCTCTCAGCCATGCAGGCCCTTCCAGTTCGTCCTCCCGTCTACCCACCTGCCCTGACCACGCACTGCACGGGTGTTACTTTGCCGTTTTAGAGAGGGGCCCCAGGTTGGGCCACTTGCTCAGCTGAGATCTCCAGCAAGCGGGTTGCTCCCCCACAGCGTCAGGTCTGCCGCCAGGTGTAACCAGGATCGATCTTGCCAGACACAATCTCAGTAAAGCCTTCCAGATGCTTCAGATCAAAGCTTCCGTGCTCAGGCAGCTCTTACCAGGGTGCATCCAGTCCCAGGAGGGGAGCGCCTTCAGGACATCTCCCCTGGAGCTCCTTTCTAGACACACTGGGGAAGAGCCAGGCTGGTTTCATGAACTAGGGTGCCCAGCCCTGCTCCCGGGCTCCAAGCCTCTGTTAGCGCCAGGTTCACCCCTCCTGCTCTTTATGGAAAGCCTGTGTTTTCCTGTTGATTTGGGCCGAATGTTGAATGGTTCATTCAGTAATGTACCCGACAGACACTGGTCTGGCATCTGTTACGCCCCTATGCACTGGGCTGTGTGCTGAGGGAACGCGGTAAGGACCCGGACCAGCATGCCCTTCCAGAAGCAGCCTGGAAAGGCACCAGAGATCTCCTCACTTGAGATCACTTCTTGGGCCTCGTGGCCACACAGACTAGAGTTTCCACAGGAGCCTCTCCTGTCACCGCCAGCCAGCGTGCCCCCTGAGGGCTTTTCCGGACTCTGTCTAGCTCCCTATGCTGCATCGAGTTGGGGCACAAGGCACGTGCTGGAGTCCTGGCCCTGCCATTCACCGTGGGCCAGTCCCTCAGCCTCTCCATGCCTGAGTCTTCATCTCTGAGATGACAGGAACCCCACCCATCTCCCAGGGAACTTTCAGAGAGTGAGGGACACAATATGTAAAAACAGCAATGTTCGGTAGATGTTATCACTATTACTGTCTTTGAAAATCAAGGCTTCAACGTGGATATCGTCCCTTGAAGATCCCAGTGTTTTTTTAAAAGATGTATTTATTTACCCTACAGAGAGAGAGAGAGAGAACTCGAAGGGAGGGGGCGGAGGGAGAGAGGGGATGTGCAAGCAGACTCCCTTCTGAGCATGGAGCCCGAGGCCAGGCTCGATCCCAGGACCCTGGGATCATGACCTGAGCCAAAATCAAGAGAAGCCAACTGAACCACCCAGGCGTCCCTTGGAGATTCCAGTTCTATAACAGATGCAGGTCCAATCTGCCCTCCTGCGTGCACCCCACCCACGCCCAGGCTGGGTCAGATGGCCCCTCTCTGCTCCTGTTACAACTCCCACCCTACAGTGCTCTTTCCTGGCTCTCCCCTTGACTGGGAGCTGCTTGAGGGGAATACCATGAACAGTGAATTCACCTACGTATCCTAAAAGGCCTAGAATAGTTCCAGGCATATAGTAAGCTCCCAGTAGGTGTCAAGTGGAAGAGTGGATGGATGGATGGGTAAGTAGATGCATGGATGGATGGAAGGAATTAGTTTTGTGAAGCATTTCGAAATCTGGGAAATGCTGAACTTGGCCATCATGTAAAATGTCTTTGTTGCTATTTGGTGCACAGCTGTGTCATCCCGAAGGCTATGGGGGACTCATCTTTACGAGCCCCAGAGCAGTGGAAGCAGTGGACCTGTGTTTGGAGGAAGACAATAAAGCAGAAGGTGAGGGGGACTCTGTTGTGAATTCCGCTGGACTTTCTTTACTCTGATTCTTCTGACCAGGGATACTGGATTCCAGAAATGGATTTTTCAGGTTTGAAACATCTCAGTGGCTTTTAGCTCAAGAAAGTATTTACGTACCAAGTTACTTCATGTTTGTGTAACCTTTGGAGGAAGCACAAAATGACCTTTCTCCTTGTAAGCTGACTCTAATGTCCCACACAGAATGACGGGTTCGCCTTGTAGCTCTCTGATGTGAGCGGACGCCTAGAGGTGTCATGTCATAGCTACTGTCTTGGGAAACAGGAGACAGGGCGGCCCCCCAAAGTCCGCAGACCCTGAGGGGCTCATCTGCCAGGTCATCTCTCTCCTCAGAATATATTGGTGGCAGTCTCTCTCCTCAAAGGGATGATGAGAAAATCCAACCACATCGAAGAAATGGCCTGTGCCATGCCAGGCACTTAATGACACGATCATCTCTTAGTCCCTTCCTCCCTCCCTCCGTCTCCTTCAAAAACACAGGAACAGAGCCCAGGCTTCAGACTGAACAACCACCTTAGTCTTTCAATCAAATAGCTTTGTAGCTAACATTTATGGAGTGCCTAATGTATACCAGGCTCTGTTAAATACTTTACATTTGTCATCTCATTTATTCCTGGACCACTGACCAGAGGCACATGTACTGTGGTCCTCATTATGCTGGGTGTAGAGATTACTTAAAAAAAATAAAAATCTTGAAAAATAAATAAATAAATAAAAGGAAATCTCCCATGGGAGTGTAAAGGGTAGCATAACACTTAAATGTAAGGGAAAGTGATGCTCCTAATCAGATTTTAGGAAGGGAGAACTCATGTTTCCTTGTCTTCTCAAAAAGTATTGAACACCCAGTGGCCTTATCATATATTTATGCAACCCATTTTCTTTTTGTATTTCTTTCATCCGCAGTTAAAGTTGTCTGTTTTTGCCCTAAGATGGTAATGTTCTCTATTAAATTGTGTTTGCTCATGAACCTGAAAGTTATGATCTTTACTCTGACTTAATGTATACATCCGAGATTATAGTTTCTTAACTGCTTTCAGATTTATGTCCCAAATAAAACCAGGTGTGTTGCTTTTTTAGACACTAAGTTGCCCTTTTTAATGACCAGTGACTTTTTCTTTAAAAGTCTAGATTTTTAGGGGCACCTGGCAGGCACAGTTGGAAGAGTGTGTGGCTCTTTTTTTTGTTGTTTTTAAGATTTTATCTATTTATTTTAGAGGGGGGCAGAGGAAGGGGCAGAGGGAGAGGGAGAGAATTTCAAGCAGACTCCCCATGGAGCCCCACATAGGGCTCAACCCCACGACCCTGAGATCATGACCCGAGCCAAAACCAAGAGTTGGACGCTTAACCAACTGAGCTATTCAGGTGGCCCAAGTGTGCAACTCTTTCTTTTTTTATTTTTTTAAGATTTTATTTATTTATTTGACAGAGAGAGACACAGCGAGAGAGGAAACACAAGCAGGGGGAGTGAGAGAGGGAGAAGTAGGCTTCCTCTGGAGCAGGGAGCCCAATGGGGGCTTGATCCCAGGATCCTGGGATCATGACCTGAGCCACCCAGCCCCCCCGCCACCCCGAGTGTGCAACTCTTGATCTTGGGGTTGTGAATTTGAGCCCCATGTTGGGTGCAGAGATTACTAAAAAAAAAATTTTTTTAATAAAGTCTAGATTTTTAAACTTTAATGTCACCCTGCAAATTCATTCTTCAAGTTCTGTTTGTTTTCTGGTACACACTAAAAATGCAACTGTGGAAAAGAGTTAATATTCTAAGCAAGGCATACTGAAACATTTATGAAGTGATTTTTAAAAATTTGCCTGTCGAATAGGAACAGAATAAAAGTGGAATTTTAGTTTGAGATGCTGTTCTTTATACGTGGTTATTAATAGTTTGCCTTGTTCACAAGTGTCTTAGGATGAGCAAGGAGCTTTGGGCAACAGTCCAGATGGCCACTGTGGTGTTTGCAGCTCACATCTCATTCCATGTTTTACAGTCTGGAAACATTCTCTGAGGGAAAAATGGAATGCTAAGTCAGTGTATGTGGTCGGAAATGCAACTGCTTCTCTAGGTAAGCAATCAAGGTAAAGATAAAACACCAAAAAAGGACAGTGATGTTATGATTTGTAATAAGAAATATGTATTTGTCTTTGTCCCTATTTCCTGGGACAGAGCTCTCAAAACCCTTGGTATTTGCTAAATGATAAGAAAGATAAAGTTGCCTATTTTTTTAAAAGATTTATTTATTTATTTTAGAGAGAGAGCTTTCACCGTACCCTTACCAGCAGCATTATATATTTAATTAATTATTTGTAAATTTCATAAGCAAAAAAATCATTTTTTAAACTTAAAAACTTTTAAAAAAACAGTGTTTTTTAAAAAAAACAAACATGGTTAAGTCATTGGGGAATGAAAACCTGGTTTTCTTCTCTCCTTTAGTCTCTGCTACTACTCAGTATATATTCAAAAGTTCTATTACATTGGCGCCTGGCTGGCTTAGTCAGTAGAGCATGCAACTCTTGATCTCAGGGTTGTGAGTTCAAACCCCATAGTTGGGCATAGAGATTACTTAAAAATAAATAAATAAAATCTTTAAAAAATAAAAAAATAAAAAATAAAGCTCTATTGCAAGCTTTGTGCCCTTTGGCCCACTAATCCCTTTCCTGATAATCTAGCCAAAGGTAATAATCCAATATAGGAGAAAAAAAGTGGTTTTTATATGAGAATGTATATTATAGCATTATTTATAATCATGGAAAAAGGAAAGTCCCCAATAGGGGAATAGTTAAATAAATTATGATACGTCTATATGATGATTATGTAGTTCCTTCTTTTACATACTTTTTATTTTGAAGGAAATTTACAGAAAACCTATAGTTATAACACAGAACTCAATCTTTCCTGGACCCTGGAGAGTAAGTTGCCAACGTGATGTCCCATCAACCCCAAATAGATGAATGTAGGTTCCCTACAAACAAGCACATTTTTCTGTATAGCTGCAAGAAATTAACATGCATGTATTTGTACCTCTTAATTCTCAATAATGTCCATTGTAGCAGAAGGGTTGAGTTCAGAATCCTGCCTTGCGTCAAGTTGTCATGTCTCGTTAGTTTCCTGCTGGAAAGGGGCCTCCATCTGTCTTTGGCTTCGTGACCTCGACACTTTCGGGGTACAAGCTGGTTGTTTTGTAGATGGTCCCCCAATTTAGGTGTGTCTGATTTTTTTTCCCCTAATTACATTAATTCAGGTTATATACGTCTGGCAGGAATATCACAAGCTTTTTCCCCTTGCCTATTACCCAGCAGTGCATCATTTTGATTTGCCCCATTACTGATAATGTTCCTTGTAATCCCTTGATTAAGGTGATATGAGGCTTCTCCCTGTGAAGCTACCATTTTTCCCCTTGAAATTAATAATTACTTTGTGGGGAGGTACTTTAAGATTATATGATAACATATTTTTTTTTTTTAGATTTTTTTTTTAAAGTAATCTCTACACCCAACGTGGGGCTTGAACTTACAACCCCAAGATCAAGAGTCACATGTTCTACCTACTGAACCAGCCAGGTGCCCCTGATAATGTATTCTTCATAAGTAGCTGCTGATTTACATCAGTATGGATTCATGGTTTCCTCTTTAATAGGGTTCAATCCATTACTCCATTACTAAGTCTATTTATTTTATTGCCCAAATTGTCCCGGCTGTGGCCAGGGGCAACCCCTTGAAGGTGACTTCTGTGTCCTTTTGACATGTCTTCATCATTCTTTGAGTACTTCCTTCTTTTCTAATGCAAAAAGATGTTCCAGATTTGTCCTATACTTTCCCTATCCCAGCCCTAAAATCAACCATTTTCCTTAGGAAGCTCTGGTTCCTTTCAGTGGAGAGGGGTATTTAGAAGCCATGATGAGGATGCTTAGTGTATTCATTGCCCTTGGACTTCACTGCTCACTGCTCATGGCCCTTTTCAGTACACAGAGACAGGGAATACACACACGCGCGTGCACACACACACACATCTTTATATCTACTTGTTTATGTTGAAAACCATGAGTTCATTCCACCACCTCCAGTTATAGTCCAACACAACAGGGTTTCTCTAGGTCTTTCATTTCTATATTCGTGACTCCCATCTCTGGCAAGGAGAAACCTGGCTCCCAGGTGATACATCTACTCATTTGATCAGTGCTCCTATAAAGAACCAGTCTCCCCTGGCTCTGCCCCCACAGGGATGCCCTCTTCAGCCCACGTGGATTCTGGCACCCAGCACTGGCCACTCCCCCATTATGACTTTCATGTCACTCCGCCCCACCTAAGGACCTTTGGGCTGAAATGTTCAAATGAAGAAGGGAGACAGGAGAGGCCAGGGGTCGGTTTAAATGCTTTTGAAGCATCTTTATAGCGTCGGAAAGATACAATGTAACATTAAAAAAAAAGCAGGATGGGGCGCCTAGGTCGCTTAGTCAGTTGGGTGTCCGGCTCTTGATTTCGGCTCGGGTTGTGATCTCAGGGTTGTGGTATTGAGCCCCTCGTAGAACTCTACAGTCAGCGGGGGGTCTGCTTCCCTCCGCCCTCCCCTCCCCACCGCTACCATGCGTGCATGCTTGCTATCTTTCTCTCAAAGAAATAAATCTTAAAAAAAAAGGAGGATGCAATATAGATGTATGATACAATTTCAATTTATTTTAAAAATATAGGTACTGTACTAGAGAGCCCTCCTTACCCCCAAAGGAGCCTGAGTGGAGCAGGGACTCACAGAGATACTTGCTGGAATATGTAATGTTCATAATAGCATCAGTCACAATAGGCAAACGGTGGAAACAAGCAAAATATCCACGGACAGATAAATGGATAAACAAAATGTAGTGTATACATGAAATAGAGTATCATGCAGACGTAAGAGGGAGGGAAATTCTGACACAGGCTACAACGTGGAAGAACCTTGAAAACATTACACTAAGTGAAATGAGCCAGATGCAAAAAGATGAATACTGTAGAATTTCACTTACCTGAGGCTCCCAGAGCAGCCAGACTCAGAGACTGAAGGTATGGGAGAGGTTTGCAGCGTCTGGGGTCGGGGGGAAATGGGAAGTTCTTGTTTAATCTGGTGTAGAGTTTCCGTTTGGGATGATAAAAAGATCTTGGAAGTGGATACTGGTGATGGTTGTGATGGTACCAAATGTCACTGAGTTATACACTTAAAAATAGTTAAAATGGTCAGTTTTTATGGTATGTGTTTTTACTACAACAAGAACAAAACCTGAAAGGAAATAACCCTATGAAAAGTACTCCAGATGGTGGTATTATAGTTGTTTTTACAATTTTCTTAATATTTTCTACATTTTCCAAACAGTCTTGAATTTGTATGTTATTTTTAAAGCACAAAGGTAAACAGATCATTAAAAATCAACCTTACAAATGAACAGAAAGATTAAGCATGAAATAATACTTAACAGTTGTGAGTCAATTAATGTGCAGTTTGTTTCAAAGCAACTGTTTGTCCAAATGAATTTTAAGTCAGGGGAAGATGCAGTATGAATGAAAGTAGTTTTTTTTTTTTTTTAAAGATTGTATTTATTTATTTGAGAGAGAGTGCATAAGCAGGGGGAGAGGCAGGGGAAGAGGGAGAAGCAGGCTCCCCGGGGAGCCCTATGTGGGGCTCAACCTCAGGACTGGGTTCATGACCTGAGCCAAAGGCAGACACTTAACGACTGAGCCACCCAGGCGCCGGCCAGTATGAGTGAAAGTAGTTTAAGAATGAACAGCACTCTTAGCAGAGAACAAAATGACGTCAAGGAGTTCCCCAGCTGTGAGCTGCCTGACTAATTAAGAGCTGGTGCATCGCTTTTCAACGCAGAGCAACTTGTACCTGGGAGCTCAGCAGATGAGCAAAGAGAGAATCAGGCCTTGGTTGCCAAGGAAACCGCCCCCACTCTCCCCTCCCCCCCAAATCAGTTAAGAATTTGCTTGCACCTTCTTTCACCCTTTCTTTTTTTCTGAAGAAGAGGAAAGAAAAGTCTAGAGACAACTTCAGACTTACACAGCAACACTTCAGCTATCAAACATGGCATGTTTGTAAATTATCCTGTTTTGATTCTCATGCTACCTTCGGTCTGATCTCAGTGGCACCACTATGCATTTTGCGTCTCATTGTGCTGTCAAATGAGAAGAAAACCCGAGAACAAAAGTGGTGATACGGGATGAGAAACCCGAGACAGAGCGGGCTAGCGGGGGCCGGCATCCCCTGTGGCTCAGAGCCTGGTCCCATGGGACCCGCTGGCCCCAGTCTGCTCCCTGTTTGTCCCGCTATGAAGGAAAAGGACATGTTCTAAATGCTGGAAGCACATGATCAAAGGAGAGATGAAATTAGGGATTTGTTCCTTTAAAAAATCTCTTGGGAGAGGAGCACCTGGCTGGCTAGCTGGGCCCCACACTGGGTGTAGAGATTACTTAAAAAAAAAGAGAAGAAAAGAAATCTCTTAGAAGAAACCACATTCTATCTTAACATGAAAGTCAGTCACCCAACTTTGGAACCTTCTGTCTTAGTTCACCTTCCCAGACACGATGTCCCAGAAGAGCTCTCTCTAGTGAACTGCTGGATGCTTCTGTTCATCCTGAGGCTCAGCAAGAGCCTGGAGAGTTAGAGGAAGTTGAACACGGACAGCCGGAGGAGACCAGGCCCGTGCGCTAGTCATCTTTTGCTGCGTAACGAATTGCCCCAAAACTTAGTGGCTGGAAACAATAAGCGTTTAATTTCTCATGGTTTCTGTGAGTCCGACATCTGGGAATGGCTGAGTTGGGTCCGTCTGGCTCGGGTTCTCTCACCAGGCTGCAGGTATCTCACGGCCTGACTTGGGGGTCCTGCTTCCAGATCACACACATGGTTCCACTTCCCAGTCCTCACGTGGCCCTCTCTAAGGGCTGTGTTAGGACACGACAGCAAGATTTCCCTCTTGCGTGCGAGACAATCCGAGAGCCAGTGAAAGAGAGCGTCCAGGCCAGAAGCCAGTCTTTCCATAATCTAACCTTGGGAGTGACATGCCATCACTTCTGCCATCTTCTTTTTGTTTGAATGGAGTCAGTCCAGGCCACACTCAAGAGGAGGGATGTGAAGGTGGTGTGAGCACCAAGATCACTGGGAGCCACTTTCCAGGAGCCCTCTCTTCAAACTGAGCACGAGAGCTGCCTCTGCTTCCCCCAGAAGCTGCAGGTCAGGCCAGGAGAATGGAACATTTTAAGCAAAGAGAAGATAGAAATGTTTCACATAGTGGAAATGAAAACTGGGCCCAAGCAAGTGGTCTTGATGTCAAAGTCCATCAAGACTTACTTATCTTAGAGAGACAGAGTGAGTGCACGAGAGAGAGCGAGTGGGCGGAGGGGCAGAGGGGCAGAGGAAGAGAGTCCTGAGGCAGAGTCCTCGCTGAGCGTGGAGTCCGACCCAGGGTTTGATCCCAGGACCCACGAGCCAAAACCAAGAGTTGGATGCTCAACTGACTAAGCCACCCAGGCACCCCATAAACCATATCTGGCTTTTTAGTATTTTTCATTGCTTTGTTTTGGGAGAATACTGAAATCATCTATATCTATAACCTTAATATGTCTTCACATCCATTTGTTGATTCTTACTGATTTGCTCTTGCACTAAGCATTTTTTTAAAGATTTTATTTATTTGTCAGAGAGAGAGAAAGAGAGCACAAGCAGGGGGAGAGGCAGGCAGAGGGAGAAGCAGACTCCCCGCTGAGCAGGGAGCCCGATGTGGGACTCCATCCAGGACCCTGGTATCATGACCTGAGCCGAAGGCAGACGCTTCACCGACTGAGCCACCCACGCATCCTGCACTAAGAATTTTATCTCACCTTCAGATAACCACAGGGTACCTTTGCACATAGGCATGCACCAGCAGGGGAGCTCACCCCCAGGCTTACATAAGCCCCCCCGCTGGATCCACCATGGCCATCCTTGCTTTAACTTCTTAAATGTAAGGAACACGATGGCAGGTTTGTCTGGGGTCAGACTGGTTCGTTTCACACAGCTGTGAGTCACTTGAAGTTCCCCTGTCACCATGGCCTGGGGAGGCCCCAAAGGCGGGCTTGCCTGGGCCCAAGGGCTGGCTGAAATGTTTGCACCCGCTTAGAGCAGAGCCAGCCTTGCCACCACAGGGGTTGAGACCTTCCAGCAAACATCCGTTCCCCCGATCTCTACTGAGAGCCTCTGCAGGCTGCCGGCGGGGCCCACAGCCCAGTCCCTGCCCTCGCAGACAGAGCTGACAGGCGCTGGACGGCTCAGGGCTTCCGCTTCCTGCGTCCCAGGGTCGTGCGAGGATGAAGTAATGCGCCAATGCTCCCTCGGAACAGCAAGGCTGCATGGGAGAGTCTACGCGGGCTTCCTCCCGTCTAGTTAATGCAAGAACGATGTGGATGAGCCCCGACGTTAAATACCAACATCACTGCAGTACTTACGTCCCAGTTCGGTTCCTGGGAAGCCATCAGGGTCTTGGTTTACCGAGACCTTCCCAGTTCAGTCAGAGGACGGGCGGCCCGGCCTAGGCTGGCCATGCCGCGTAACAAGGGCTTTGTTCTGGAACAAAGTTGACAGCTGCATGTGACTTTTGTCTCTTGGGCTCGGGACCCTTGAAATGACCTGTCAGTGAAGAGCTGATGGTGTGTATGTGAAAGCTGCAGTTTGTTCTTAGCCAGCGCTCTCACGTGAATCCGAAATGGAAGGCCCACAGCTCCTCCTCCGTCGGGGAGGTGCCACACCCCGGGCACAGGTGCTGAGTGCTGACGGCGCGGGGTCCATGGCCCTTCCTCCCCAGCATCCTCTGCAGAGTGGCCAGTGCTTCCCGTGTGGAAGAGTGCAGGGGGGCCCGGGGTGGGGGTGGGGGGTTGCTGCTCCTGCCTCACTTCTTGATGGGAGTCTCTCAAAGCTGCTGGTCTGCCCCTCGCCCCAGATGACCCGTAGTCATGGTGCTGGGGGTTGCTATTGGCAGGTTCCCAGGGAACCGCTCCTGCCCTCCCTTCCATTTCAGTCTGGCCACATCAGCCCACAACACCCTTCTGGATGGGCGCTGGCCTTGGCTTCCCGGCAGGACGAGGGCTCTCTCACGCCCTGTGAGAAGTAGTAAATCCTAGATGCTCACCACCTCCGTACTGGCTGGTAAGAAACCGCCTTTCTTCAGCTCCCCTAGATGGCCTGCGATTTGCTCTCATCATCTCGTATAATCCTTAAAGCAGTCCCCTGCGTCTTCCCCTGGTGTAGCCAAGCTCAGCAGGGCTCAGAGAAACTGGCGCGTGACCCAAAGCCACACGTACTAGGAAGGGTGGGCCCGGGGCCCAGCACCCTCACGTCCGATACAGTGCCGGCCGCCCCTTGCACCTGCCTTCAGGAGGAGACGTTCCTGTGTATTTGCACGTTAGCAAACAACCCAGGAACAGAGGTCTTTAATAGCCACATGAAAACATATTTCTTTTGTTGTTTTCCAGTGAATAAAATTGGCCTGGATACGGAAGGAGCAAACTGTGGAAATGCAGAAAAGCTTGCAGAATATATTTGTTCCCGTAAGTAGAAAAAGGTCACTCCAACTGAAGCCCATTACTTTTTGTTTGATGGCCTCACCCCCGACCCCCGGGAGAGGAACATTTCCTGGGTGCATTCTCCGTGGTGACGCTGGTTGGTGTGCAGTGTGCAGGCCGCTCATGGGACCGCGGGCTCCTTTTCCGGTGTGTGTCTGTGCTTGTTTGAGATTCAGCCCGCCTCTCTCGGCCCCCTCCACCAGAGGACTTGAGACAACTCGAACATGACACAAAATGAAACGTTCAGAGACAAATCCAGGGAGACCATCTGCAGTGATGCTACCCGGAGTGGAGGCAGGCTGCTGCAGCTGGGCACCTCCCCTGAGTCTGTGTCCGCCCCTGAGCGCCCTCTCAGGGCTGGCCCACCCCCTGGGAGTGCGTCCCTGGGCAGCGTGTGGACCAGGACCTGAGAGGACGCTGGTTGTAGAGGTGTTTGCCTTTCAGTGGGGGTGCAGCCCTGATGGAAACAAAGCTTTGGGGGAGGTCTCGGAGCGAGAGGGGCGGGAAGGCCGTCAACACTCAACAGACATGGGTTCCCACTGCTGCTTCTGCCCCCCGCAGAGTCTCCAGGGCCAGGCTGGAGGCTGCCCATGGGTGGTGGAGCAGGGCAGCTGGAGGGAAGGTACTCCCTGCTTTCTGGTCATATCCACTACTGTGTCCCAGCCCGGCTCTTCGCTTTAGCTTGCTGATTTCTCTAAGTTTTGAAAAATGCTCTTCTTACTAAGGGGGTGGGTTTCAGAGACCCTCCAGAAGCCCCAGGGATGAAGGAGGTGAGCCCTAATCCGGTGACCCTCTGGGCCCCTTCCTGGCCGAAGCAGGTGCTGCCCCGGGCTGGAGCAGAGGACTGAGTACCCAGCACTGTGTTCCTGTCCCAGGGCAGCACTGCTGGGCCTCCCACCCTGGCTCTTGTGTCCACCACTCCACCTGAACTGCAGGCCTTGGGGGCTGTTCAACAGGACAGTCTCCCGGCCCACGACTCTAGTGGCCAGGTCCATGGCTCTCCAGCTGGCCCCCTGGTGCTCCCAGCACATCCTCACCTCCTCCCTCCCGTTGGTGCTGCCTACAGAGGCCCTGTCCTTCACGTAGGCTCCTCTGTGACAGGGACGCCACAGGCTGTGGTCCTTCCATGTCCACTGTCCTGGAGACCTTGGCCCTCCTTTGTCCAGCCCCAGCACACACATGCTGTTTATGCCTCGTCTTGTTGCTGAACCACTCCTCCCTTGTGGCCCGGCACACAGGTGTTCTCACACAGCGTTTGCTGAGCGCTGAACTGTTCTGGCGTGAGAGGAGGGCATCTGGGGGGCAAGGCAAGAGAGGGCTTGGTCCATGCCAACAGGCCCGGCCAAGCTGAGCGGCCATCTTCTTGAGCATCAGCTCGGGCCTGCCAGTCGTTTGATACTGTACGGCCAGGTGTTGAAAGCTGCTGAGAAGCCAAGGGCAGTTATGCTGGTGGTCCAGGGGTGAACACAGCCCTGGGCACCTCAGGGTCCTCAGGCCCATGGGACTGTTTTAAGGGTCACTGAGCCTTACCTTTTCCCCGATGAGAGGAACGTCATGTGATTGGGTTTTTCCCCAGCAGTTTGTGGCGTGGGATGCATGATCCCACGCCAGGTTCTTTATTTCTGATGTTTGTAGGGGACAATGGTCACCATTAAACAGTAACAAAGCCCTTCTGTTTTAATGTGGAAATCAATGTAAATGGTAGAACTTGGCACTCCCCGGGGGATTAAGTGCCTTGGTTTAGGAAGACGAATGACTGGTCCCGTGGGTGGGACCACATTTAGCTCCTTAATGAACAGGTGGCCACAGCCTGTCTCCAGGGCAGATGACCTGGCTGTACTCACCGCTGATGCACTAGTTCTGGAAAGAGATGGAAGGAAATTGAGTCATTCCTATCGGGTCCAGAGGCATCAGGCTGGTGCTCCTTGATCTGCATACACAAGGCAGGAAGGATCCGTGTCACTTCTGAGATATCACCCTGGTGTTTCAATTAACTGACTCAAGGCGTGGAGGGGAGATAGGAACGTACTCTGCCTTATCTCGGCGAGACTGGGCGGCATTCTTTGCAAAGCCTTTGTTACTTCTCATTTGTTACCACCACGCCTGTGTGTCCTAATAAATCTTTAATTCGCAATTAGAATATCCAAATAAGAATCCTTCTTGACTGCTAATAGGGACGTTCACCTTGGTTTTACCAAGGCATTAATGATTTTCTGCCCCAGCAAGCTCTGAAACTGGATTTTAAAAGCTAAGAATCTACTTCCAGTGTTTGGAGTCAACAGGCCAATTCATAGTTACTGCTTATTTCTTTTACTTAACACTTTTTACTATGTGACAGATACCATCGCGGGCACTTAAAACTATTAACTCATTTAATCTGATAGCTCATTGTTCTGATAGAAAATTCTCCCCTTCCAGGAGATCTGCTCTAATGGAAAAGAAAGCAGCAAATAAATGGTAAAAGGGGGCATTATAGCATTCTGCAAGAGAGGGGATCCGCCTGAGTCAGAGGGGAGTGCCGTTATTGGAAATGTCCCTGGATTGGGGGCTGCCGATGGCCACTCCTGCAGCCTCGCGGACTTGCTCGGCCCTTCCTTCCCTCTCATCAGCCCTGTTGTCCGGATTCTCCACCATGAGAATCTCTCTCTGCACGGCTGCATCTCCCAGCTTTGCCTGGGAGGCCGAAATCAGTGCAGACCGGGCAGTTGTCAGAGCTTTCCCGCCACGCACATGTCCTCCAGTGAAATGGCATTTTTTAAAAAAATCAGCCTTGTTACCTTAATTACTACAGTGACTACTTATGGAGTCCCCAGCCCCTCGGCACAACCCTCTCCTGGGATTTTCAGCACCCTTGCTGGCCTCAGCCCCCACAGCCCAGCAGTCCAGGCCTCCTTCCTGTTAAAGGAATGCGCAGCCTCTGAGCCCCGTGAGCCCCCATTCTGTGCCTTCTCTGTTGGGTGAGACCCCTGCCAGGCCCCTGTCTCTCCCTGTTGTTCCAGGAAACCTCTCACACCTCTGCAGAATCAGCCAGCTTTAGCACTGACCTATTTAGCAGGGGCCTATTTGGGTTAAAAATCTGCAGGCAGTAAACTTACCCCCAAAAAGAATGGGTTCTTTGCCTCCGACTTCTTGAAGGGGGTTAGGTCCCAGGAAGGACAGTTGTGGTACATCTCTGCCCAGCAGAAGAGGATTCTAACCAGAACCTTTTCACCTTTGCTGAGAGTGTCACGGGTTTCCATGACGTCAGCCGGGCTGATTGGGCCTGCATGCGTGGCCTGGCTCTCCGGGCACTGGTGATGCGGTCAGAAAAGACAGGCGTCTGTCCTGGGCCAGGACACACATGCTAAGCTCCCATCTCCCGAGTTAGCAGCCAGCAATCCGAGAATAAGCATGAGCAGCTCAATACTGGGCTAGACCTTCTGAAGAGATGCTTTGAAGGGCAGACTCCGGAATCTTCCAAAGGCCCCTTGCACACCTCTAGGGCTGGGCTTGCTGGAAAGGCAGGCCCTTGGCTTTCCTGCTGCATTCCCGAAGCTGCCCCAGAGCAGATGGCTGCGAGGGTCTGTGGCAGCAGCTTTGGCCTCTAGAATCCTGCACACCCCAGCACCTAACACACATGGACGGACACAGAGACACTGGAGGGACGCCTGGGCTCTCGTTAAGAAAGTTGCACCTGAACATGGCTATGAAAATATGTATCCAAGGATGGCATCTACAGAAACATTTGCTCCCACTGGAAAAGAGGAATCAGTGGGCATCTATTGTCTACATTTGAATTTTTCCCAATTCCTTGTGTTCTTTTACATCATGCTGATAGTTACAGAGCAGCTTAAATCAAGAACATATCCACCAGGACATAGTTCTTGAATAACCTGGAAAAAGGAAGTTATTCCTGTGGGTGGGCTGGGCCTTCCGGGAGATGGTGCTAGACGGGAAGTGCTTGCTTTGTTCTTCCTCTGACTGCAATGCCCAAAGAGGTGTTCGGGGAGATCTGACGGGTACAGAATAATGTGTTTGTGCGTGACCAACAGCCATTAAGACTTCTTCCAACTGATGGACGGACGTCGGGGGAGGGGTGGGTGGTTCTATCAGAATGTTCACATTTGGGGAGGATTCACCCATCGGTTTTTTTGGATGGTAGTGTCTCAGGTCAGTGTTCAGACTGCGTGCCATCTTCATTCTGCAGAGAGCTTGGAGCCGAACGCACCCCAAAGTCTTCCTGGAGTGGAGATGGGGAGCAGGCTGGGAGGCAGGCCATTCTTAGCAGGCCCCTACACGGCCACCCATCCACCCCATGGGCACTTGGCCGGGTGGCCGCCATCCTGAGAGGACAGAAGGCACGCAGCTTGTCTCTGTTGGGGGTGGCCGCAGGGCCGCTTGTGGCTGCCATTTCCCTGCCGCCTCCTGAGCGTGGGCCCTGGCTCCAGCCACCTCCTGTGGCCTCCAGGGCTCCTCCCGAGGCGCAACGTGGCTGCAGCAGTGCCTTGTGACTCCAGCCACGTGCAGGGCCGCACGCTAGCTCATGCCTGCAGGCCAGGTGCCACGTCAGAACCAGAGGGGCTGGAGGGGCCTGGGGGACAGCGGCCCTGGCTTGCGGGGGTGCCCGTTTTCTGAGCGCCATGGCCGAATCCCCTGTGATCTTCCTACAGCAGGGTCAGCTTCTTCCCTCCCACGCACAGCCGCTGGGCAGCCCGGAACTGCTGCTCGCCGTGCCCTGGGCACATGCACCCCCTTCTTGAAAGCGTTGACAAAGTCTGGTTATTTATCTGCAGGGGAGTCACCAGCATTGCCTCTTCTGTTTCCCTGTGGAACCGTCAAAGGAGAAATCCTGCCGAAAATGCTCAAGGACAGAGGTGACGGCAGTGCATTGGCTCGTGGGCATGGCCTCCCTGGTCCACATCCTCGGGTCTGCCGGGAGCCTTCGTGGTCTGCGTTTGGGGTCGGCCGTGCGGAGCCCCTGCGGGAGGGCAGGCCGGGGGAGGGCGGGCGGCCCTCGTGGGGTGCAGTCTACTGTCCTGACTGTAGCCCTGCGCTTGTCTGCCTGCTCGGCTCCGGGTAGGCCCGCAGAGTGTCACAGCCTTCGCCAAGGGTGCGGGTGGTGCTGGTGTGGACGGACCCCGGGGCAGGTCCCGGGGCAGAGGAAAGCCTCCGAATGGAGCCCGGTATTCTTGATGGAATAAAGCCTATTCCCTGCTTTTGATTGTGTCCAGGGATTCCCATGGAAAGCATAACTGTCTATCAGAAGATCCCACACCCGGGAATCCAAGTGAACCTCAACAGCTACTATTCTAAGCAGGTGGGTGGTGCTTGCAGGGAGACTTGGGGGAGGGGGAGGCCCAAACCCCAGCGCATGGTTCCACCATCCCAGCCGCATGACTTCCCAAGGCTCCATCTCTGTATCTGTGAAATGGGAACAGACCTCTCTTGGAAGGGTCTTAGAAGGATGAAAGGAGATAAAATGCACAAAGCCTATGGATATCACCCCAGACACAGTGAGCCTGGGCAGCTAGGGGCCGTGCTGTGACTGTCCGGCATTGTGTGGGGCACTGGGGGAGCCCCAGGGAAGAGGCTGGGAAGGGAGGCTGGGCCCATACTGGGAAGACCCACAATGCCCACTGAGGAGTCTATGTTGAATTTGGGAAGCCACAGGGACCTCTGAAGGCTTCAGGCAGGAGGGTGGGTGGCGCCTGTGTGAGTTAAGGTTTTCCACATCTGTATTCAGTGGGACACCTCCCCCACTCTCCCGGGACAAGCCTTGCTGGTTCTGGACGTCCCATTAGTGCAAACGAAAACAGAGGGCCACGCAGCCAGTCTGCCTTCTGTCTCCTGAGAAAGGATGCAGAGTTGACAGCCTGGACTGCTGCCTCACTGATCAAGGACACTTTGGCCACGTGAGCTAGTGGCAGCGTCTGCTTCGGCTGGGCGGGCGGGTCCGTGGTGCCCCTGTCCTCTGGCCAGGCAGACACACACCTGTGGGCCACAGAGCGATGAGGAGCAGCACCCAGCCTCCCCAGTGGCACCCTGATCTCTAAACGGTGCCTCACCTGAACTCGGCCTTGGCCTCCAGGGAGCAGAGAAGGCCACGTCCACCAGGAGCCCTCCTGCTGTGAATCTGTGGGGCTGCCTGGGGGTTGCCTCCTGGGGCTCCAGGGCTGATGGTGCCCGGCTGGGGGAACCAGGGGAACATTCTCTCTCCTTGGCCTGTGGTGGCAGACTGATCTTACACTCTCCCTGCAGGGCGTTCCGGCCAGCATCACATTTTTCAGTCCCTCTGGCCTTACCTACAGCCTCAAGCATATTCAAGAGTTATCTGGCGACAGCATTGATCAAATTAAGGTGAGGTATTCAGTGGGCTTTTGGTCTTTTCAGGTTTTTAAAAATTCTTACTAATTACCTAGAGTTTCCATGTAAAGCCAAAACACTCCTGACTCCTGATGTCAGCTCGTAGCCCTGGAAAGGCCAGGCTCGAGAATTCTCCAGCATCACTTCCTGGCTGGTGCTCTCGGACACCTTACTTAACCTCTCTGAGCCTATTTCCTTATTTGTATCATGAGGATGATTATCCCTCTATGGCTTTTATAGACACGTAGTCACCCCTTATTTGCAGGGTATCGATACGTTCCCAGACCCTCAAGTGGATGTGTTAAACCACGGTGACTACCCAATCCTGATGCAGTGTTTTTTCCTACACATACATCCCTGTGATAAAGTTTAATTTCTAAATCAGGCACAGTAAGAGATTAACAACAATAGCTAATAATAAAGCCGTTACAACAATATCCTGTGGTAGCGGTGAACTCTCTCAAGATACCTTACTGTACTGCACTCACCCTTCTTCCCGTGAGGCTGTGGGATGATAATGTGCCTCCATGACAAGGGGAGGGCAGTGACGTAGGCACGGGACGGCATTCCCACTTGTGAGGGACCACATTTGCTAGGAGTCTATAAGTAACAACAAGGCTTTTGGGGCCTGTAACAGGAAGGTTCTTGAACTGGCTCCAGTGGGACCGAGGAAAGGGTGGAGGCCACCTGGGGCCCCAGAACAGAGGCTGCCAGCACCGTGCGCACTCACACAGCGTGCGTGCTCTTAGCTTTTACTACCGGTGCGACTCACGGCACACCTGCGGGGTCGGCACCGGTTCCCAGTTCTGCAGGTGGAGAACTGGGCTCAGAGAAGTAGTGCGTCTTGCCCTAGGCCTTACAGGAGAGGAAGGGATTTGAACCCAGGAAGACGGATTCCATGTTGTTAGCTGTGGTGATACCTGAGCTGTGGCCAGTTGACGGAGCACTTCCAGGCAGTATCTTGTAGAATTCGCCCACCAGTCCGGGGGTAGGAATCAAGCAAAACTGGGACTACCAGCTATGTAGGAGGATTCTGGTTCCTGCCCCCCCTTACCAATACTTGTAAGTTTGGTCTTCATGATCACAGCCACTGCAGTGGCTGTGGGGGAGTTTTGACTTGGATTGCTCCCATGACCGATGACGCTAATAAGCGTCTTTCCCTGTGCATGTCAGCTGCTTCTGCATCTTCTTCTGAGAAGTGTCTGCTCACGTCCTTGCCGTCTGTCTCGTTGCGACTGTTGCTGGGCTGTACGGGTTCTTTGTTCCTGGATGCAAGTTCCCCATCCGATAAACTTTCCCCATCCTGTGAGCTGTCTTTGCACTTCTGTGATGATGCCCGTAGAAGCACGACGGTTTTTCCGTTTTGGTGAAGACCCACTCATCTATCTTTTCCTTTGCGACTTGTGCTGGGAGCGGCGTGTCTCAGAAACCACTGCCTAATCCCAGGGCATGAAAGCCCCCCCGCCATGTTTCTTCTGTGTTAACAGTCTCAGCTCTTACATTTAGGTCTGTGACCCACTTTGAGTTCATGTTTGTGTCTACTCGGAGGTAGGGGTCCGGCACCATCTTTTCCTCGGGGAGTTTCTCGAGGAATGGCTGCGTCTCAGGGTGGAGTGGGAGGGGGGTGGGGGGGGCTACAGGAGCTCTGGCTTCCAGGGTGCAGCAGCCTCTGTCCTGTGGCTCTGACATGCCCCAGAAAGGGGGGCTTCAAGTCCTGAGATTGTTCCCTGCGCCACACCCGGCCCAGGGTAAGGGCTGCCATCCTCACAGACCTACTCCCAGGCAGGGGTGTGTGCACCCCAGTGTTGGGGTGGGGGTGACGTGAATGTTCTCCCTGCCAGAGCAACAGATCTTATTTACCCCCCCCCAGCCCTGCCAAGCAAGTGTAATTGTACCCCTTTTACAGATGAGGAAACAGGACCAGAGTGGCTAAGTGACTTGTGAGGACACCTAGCAAGGGCCGGGGTCACCACAACAAAAAACCACATTCAGCGCCAAGCGAGGCTCTGCATGTGACCATCAAACGTGCGATGTTCAGAGAGAGGCATCTGGCTGGCGAGTCTCAGGCCACTGGAGTTTCTCGTCTGGAGTAACTGTGTTCCCATCAGTGGCAGCCACTGGTGGCCGCCGAGCATTTCTCTGTGCCGGCCCTGGCCACGTGGTTGCTCACATTGCCCCCACGTGATCCTCAGAGCAGCCCAACGGGGAAGGCTGTTCCCCTCTCTGTTTTACAGATGAAGGGACGGAGGCCCAGAGAGGGAGGGTCACTTGCTAGGGCCACTATCCTGCAGAGCTAGAATGGGAACCTGGCCCTCCAGCTCCACGTCCCGGACTCCGCTGCTGCGTTTTCCTGGGGAGCGCAGCCGGGGCCCCTGCCACGGCCAGAGCACCTTTCAGACTTTGCTGTCTGCTCCACTTGGCCCCGCACCCAGGGCAGAACCGTGGGCGGCTGAGGCTTGTGGAGAGGCAGCCAAGACAGCGGGCCCCGCCCTGCACCCGAGCCACAGGCTGGAGGGGAGGCTGTAATGAGGTCGTGCAGGCAAAGGCGGTTCGCGGGCATAGGGCTGGGTTCGCATCGGGAGGGGTGATCACACGTGCAATGAGCTGCGACGACCTGACGGGCCCAGGCCCTACCCCACTGTCCGCCCGGCCGGCCCCGCAGGTGCGCTGAAGCTCCCTCTCTCTCCCCCTGCAGTTTGCCGCCATCGGCCCCAGCACAGCCCGCGCGCTGACCGCCCAGGGCCTGCCTGTGAGCTGCCTGGCCGAGAGCCCCACGCCGTCAGCCCTGGCCAAGGGCCTCCGGTTGGCCCTTCAGGCCCCCCGCTGCTGAGTCGGTGGCCCGTCCCGCTGCTGACTGGTGCAGGGAGGCGAGGCATCAGGGAGGGGCTCCCCACACCTCTGCCTCGTGCCTCCATGGAACCCCGGGGAGACCCGGGCCCGGCGAGAGCTCCTCTGGCAGAGGGAAGAAAACCAAATAAACCACCTGGCTCTTCGCGCTGAGTTGTCACTCGCTGTGTATCGTTTTCCATGCAGAGCTGCGTTTGTGGAGGAAACAGACGTGCCCACGTTCTGAGAACCGCCCAACCTGGTAGGAATGATAACACCTGCTGTGTAGGAAGTAGCTTTATGCATCCTATAAAAAGGACCTTCAAGTTCCTGCTTTGTGAGCTGTGGACACCTGCCATTCAAATAAGGAGAGACTTTCTTTCCTTCAGAAATGAAAGGCAGCTGAGACCAGGCAGGGTGTCTGAGGCGGGGGAGGCTGGTTTACACAGAAGGGCTTCGCCTGCAGGATGCAGTGCCCTGCAGACAGGCTTGGGGAGTCTGCCCCCAGACTTTCTTTCCGCTTTTAAAATCTTGGTCTGGAGCCTGAGCTGGGTGGAATGAAACCCGTGTCCGTCGTTTGGCAGGAAGGAGGACTGTGTGCCCAGCACGAGTGCACTCCCCGGGAGGTGTGTCACGTTGGCAGTCCCCGCGAGCAGTGCTCTGCCTCTCTCCTCCCTGGTCCGCTTAACGCCCTGAGGAGTGGACGCCACCAGGATTCCCGTTTCTCTGGGGAAGACCCTGAGACTCGGGGCATTAAATGCTTTGCTCGGGGTCACCCAGCAAGTGAGTGACCAGCCAGGATGCTCTGAAGGGGACTTGTGAACATAAGCACGGAGGCCCAGAGTGATGGAGCTCCTGAGCCGCCTCGCCTCCACGTGACCTCAGTACAAAAGTAAGGACCTGGTAATCGTTAGTGACCTGAATGGAAACTCCGCAGGTTTCATGATGGCCCCGTATTTTTTGTCTGTAGTCATGTTTCTGAATATGGGTCAGAATCCATCCCACCGCTTCCTTCTGATCTGAACGTCAGGTCTGGATTGATGAGGTGCGTTTAGGATCCCTGCCACTCCCAAGGAGCCTTTTTCTGCCGGAGTTACCTTTTCCTGAGCTTGGGGAAGAGGCCGGCCCCAAGCAGCCCCGCAGCCGAGGAGTGCAGAGGCTGCGCCGTGCAGGCCCCCACAGCTGCCACAAAGCAGGGCCCGCCACGTCGGGGCTGCTGCGGCAGCGTCTCGAGGCCAGCCTCGGGACAGAATGTTGCCACCGGGACCCGGGAAGGCTACAGGACCTGCGGTGGCCAAGGCGGTCCCCTGACCGTGTGCCTGCAGGTCAGAGCCCTGCTGGATTGCTTCAGATTATATCCCCCAAACTACCGCTCGGCCTCTGACCCACCTGCTGCCCACTGTCCCCTGTGTGCACACGGCCCCTGGCTGCCATCACCCCCACACTCCCGCCAAGTGGCCACACACGAGCCCCCATGGAGGCATCACCTGGGTGAGGACAGGAACCAGCCCTCCCACAATGGATGGTGCCTGGGCTTCTTTGCGGGGAGAAGGAGTGAACAGTCCAGAGGGTTCGGGAAGCTTGGGGTGGGGGAGCATGGCGCCCAGGAGGAGGGGTTGTTGGCATCAAACTCTCAAGAGCCCCAGTCTCCCCGACACTAGGGGAGTGACTCCTGCCTTCTGAGTTCCAGTTGGCCCATCTGTCAAGAGGGGAGGAGCTTCTGCCTCCTGGATGTGTGCACTGCAACTCAGAAAACTACGCCTGAAGCTACCTCGAGATCTGGATGGAGAGCTTAGGTTGGTGGGTAATAAGCAGTGTGTCACGTATTCTCATAAATAAATAGTACTGCTCAGCATTTACTGCTCCATCTGAGTTTAGAGGTTTATCTGGTGGAAAGTGTTGCTGGAATGGCAAAGGTGATATTGGGGTCATGGCCCCAACACCTAAAGCATTCTAGGTACCTGGGGATCAGAGACAGTGCAGCGCCTGCCCCAAAGGGGCCTGCAAACACCTTGAAAGAACAAAGTCAGGAGGCAACTGAGCTCAGCATAAAGAGCCTGTATTTCACACAACAGGACTGTGGCCAGGAGACAGGGGGGAGGCCACCTGTCTTTGGACGACTGTTGCCAGAGAACCACTCTCTGAGGTTCTGTCACGGGGAGCCTGACAGCGGGGAGCTGGAGACAGCAGAGTCTCAGGATGGCCTTCTTCCAAACCAAATCACCTGCCTTTTGTGTCGATGCCATTGATTGTCATATGTCCCTTCGGAGATTTTATAATAAGCATTAGATTCGATTTCTTTTCTTTTTCTTTTTTTTTTAGTAGGCTCCACGCCCAGCATGGAGCCCAGCACGGGGCTCAAACCCACGACCCTGAGATCAAGACCTGAGCTGAGATCAAGAGTCGCACACTCCACCGAATGATCCACCCGCATGCCCCCAGATTTCTTTTCTTTCTTAAGCCCATTTCTTACAACTGCTGGAGGTTCTCAGCTGGGCAAGTCACACTACTGATTATACAGACCTCTCCGCCCTCCTCCCTCCCACTCACTTCAGCGTTCTGGACACCTTGCAGCAAAGACAGAGGACACAGCAAATCAGCAACCACGCGACAAGCAGTAAGCAACAGCCAACGGCAATCATAATTTCCACGTCAATGGCCATTATAATCTTGGAGCGTCTCACACACACCTGGGCAGAGAAGTGCCGGCAAGCAGTGAGTGTGGCCTCCCTCCCCACCCAGCCGCCTCGCCGCCTCAGCGTGCTTCCGTTGGCGGGGGATCCAGGAGCCCCAAACCGCAGAGCCTTCCACGTGTAAGCGTGTGTGAACGCTCCCGGGCAGGCCTAGGAGCCTTTGTGGGTGGAAAGCGACGGGAAATGCGAAGTCCAGAGAGAAGGAAATCAGAAGGGCAGGGAGTGGGAAGAATCTTCTCTTCTCCCTTTCACAGGCAGCAGTGTGCGGCTGTGAGTCACACCCAGGCCTGCACTTGCACAGGTGGTTTCCCAAACACCTGGGCTTCCTGAGATCGATCCACGTTCGGAGTCAGGACTGACCCCTCACTGTGCATCAGGCTCAAAAATCCCCCCCTTGGGAACAATTAAGGGAAAGTCTTTTTCAAAATGTCATGCTGTGCGGTGCTGAGAATATGTAAACCCATGTTGTAAATGACATGTACTTCAGGGAAAAAAAGTTTTCAGGCCTCCCACTGACAATTGGATCATGCCATCTCAGCATTTAAGGAGACTCTGGAAGCTTCCAGCCAAACCCTTCCCCCAAGCTCAGAGATGAGGAGTGCCCTGTACAGACCAGGAACCAGCTTCTCTGGGAGCCCCTGTCCTTCCTGTCTGTATTGTAGATCACCCGCTTTTCTCTGCCATTTTTCCTCCTAAATCTAACTGATTTCCTTAAAATCCAATTTACCTGGAATGAGCAATTTAGTTAATCAGACAGTGGGAACCTTGTGACGCCAGTCAGGCTACTCAGAGGCTCTGAAATAATCGGGGAGAGGAACGCTCTGAGAGAAGGGTGGGCAATCCCCGAGCTGCAAGAGGCCAGCCGCACAACACAGGAGAAAACAATGGTAGGGAATAAGACCCTGCCATCAGAAAGCCCTAGCGCGGTCCCCTGCCATCTTTATGGAGAGCTGCTGTGCACGTTTGAAGACCTGACTTTCAGAAGCGCTGTCTTCAGCCAGAGCTCACGGGATGGACAGGCACCGACTGGCTTTCAGACCCGGCAGAACTCAGGCTGTGTGACATCAGCCCTCGGGACACCAGCTCTCAACCACAGAGTTCTCAATTCTGTTCCATGTCCGGAACGTTAGCCTCCCAGGAAATACAGTGTCTAGACGGTATCTCGAATAATTTTGTTCTAAATCTTGTACCTGTGCAGGTTTTTGTTTCCCCAAGAGAAAATGTTCAGGATTATCTTCTAATCAAAACAGTTTGAGGGGCACCTGGGTGGCTCAGTCGGTGAAGCGTCTGCCTTTGGCTCAGGTCATGATCCCAGGGTCCCGGGATCGAGCCCCGTGCCTGGCTCCCTGCTCCACAGGAAGTCTGCCTCTTCCTCTCCTCCTGCCCCTCTCCCCTGCTCCTACATGCTCTCTCCTTCTCTCAAATAAATAAAATCTTTAAAAACAAAAAACAAAAAACAACCACACAGTTTGAGAATTTAAAAAAACAACAACAGAAAACCCAGTCATGTGGGAAAGTGAACACTGCCCTGACACCTGACAGTTGCACTTGGCTTTGGCCACACGGTGCAATAATTCTTTGTAGCCATTTATTGGGGTGTACGTGTTCACTGACATGTGGATACGTGAAGTATGTTGATAAATACAGCTGACACACATACTCGCCAACGCATGACTAACACGTGTCATGGTTACATATGTGCTTATATGTATTATACATGTAAATGACACATATATACAACAGGGCACAGTGGGAAGAAACCAGAGTAGGGCACTGGTTGTGGCTAGGCGTCTCTGGTCACCCGGTGCAGAGGGCTTGCCAGGCCAGTGCTGTGCATGAGGGGATGAGCTTCCTAGGCCCCTCACGGGAGTCCAGGTAGAAGGGCAGAGCAGGCCCGGCGGGCATGGGCGGGGGACCAGCAGCCCCCCAGCGCTGGGGCAGCCCCCCTCTGGCTCTGTGTAAATGTCGTGTGCCACAGTCACATGGGAAGCACGAGGTACCTGCGCACCACTGGGAGTCACTGCGTTGCACA